AAAATAATTAAGTTATTTATACAAATTTTTAAATTAAATTTTAAATATTTTTAAAAATTTAAATAAAAAACACCTAAGCCTTTGATCACCACTACCTCCTACAACCATCAATATCATTTTATACAATATTTATTAAAAAAAGTAATACTTTTTAAATACCAAACTCTTTTTAATTTATATTCAAATATAAAAGATAAAAAAAAAGTGATATCTAACAGCTCTAAACCTTCCATACATACGAAAATTCACTTAGGTTTTATTTGAGATAATTTTTTATCACTGTATTTTTACTATAAAAAAAAATTTACTAAAAATTGCCGTAGAAATAGCGTAAAATTTATCTTAGTGAAACCTTAAACTTCATGTATCTAACTCTCTTTGTCATCTCAAAAAGTAAGCAATTTTTTTCAAGATCATTATTTAAAAATAAGATGAAATAAATTATTTGCACCAAGTTTTAGTAAAAGTGATATTCTCTACTGTTAGAAAAAAAAAAAAATTGAACATTTCATTAAAAATTATATATATAGAAAAATTATGTTTATGTTTCTTTTTTATAAAACTAATAACTGAATATTTAAAATAAAAAAATAATCATATATTTGTGTATAATAGAACTAATAGAATATTGAGTTTAATAATTTATTTAAAATAGATTTTGATATTCCTAAAAGATTAAAATTTTATTTCACTATGAAGTATTAAATGGGAAGGCATAAGAAATCATTTGAAAAATTGTTAGTATTTTAAAAATTATTAATTTGTGCCTACATGATAAAAAATTCTAGCTCCACCACTGTTCATAGATAATTATGATCTAACAAAGTTTAATTATGTGGGTAAAAATAACAACAAAAATATCAAGCATTTATCTCATTATATGTGATTTTTCTCTATTGTATCATATTAAAAGTCAAGTTCTTTAAATTTAATAAAAAAAAAATCATTTCTAATATTTTCTAACTAAGTCTTTTTAGGCCTACCTCCACCTTTCTTAACAGAGGTCATATCTAATATCTCTACTGTTCTAGTCGGATCATTATCAAGTATTTATCTCATTACATGTGATCAATTATATGAATTTTTTTTTTCTGTATTGTATCATATTAAAAGTCAAGTTCTATAAATTTAATAAAAAAAATCAATAATAATATTTTCTAACTAAGTTTTTTTAGGCATACCTCAACCTTTCTTAATAGAGGTCAGATTTAATATCTCTACTATCATAGTCGGATCATTATAGACCGACATCTTATGTGATATATCTATACACACAAAATTAAGAAAGAAACGTCCTCTCAAAATCAATTGACAAATGGACAAAATTTGCACTTAAAGCATCTCACTAGCTTCTAAGGAACAACTTGGCCAAGTGCGACTAATAATTAAGTCCACCCAATCCACTTGGCTTGCTTGGATGGATTCCTCTAGCCATTATATTATTTTGGATGATCCTCCCTTTCTATTATTAATAAAAATATATATGTCTTCAATGCAAAACATCGTTATTTTTTAATGCAATATATATTAAAATAATGTTATATATCTTTAATATACTTTTGGAATGAAAGTGAATGTATGAATTCATTAAGATCTATTATATTGATATTAATTAAATTGATATTATGAACTAAGTAGAACAAGTATACTACAATATGACAGGTCATGTATTACAAGAAAGATTATCAAAGAATCTAGACTATACACAATCTTTGAAATCTTTCTTTTTTTTACACCTCTCTCTAGACACTTTTTGGAGGTTGGTGAGAACCGTTGAGTCATTGCTTTGTTGAGCTTTTATGATTTGGGTTGATCACCTGCATCATCGATGCTTCTGTGCGATTCAACCTAGTTCTGCAAAGAGATTGGTCATGTAAAATGGTATAGCTCTCTCGCTGAAAACTCACTCATATGGTGCTCGCAAATGATTAGAATAGGCTGGAAACATGCGAAGTATGGTCATCATTGGGAAAACTAGTGACCAAATCAATGTTGTGATAAGACCTTAAAATTGCTTAAAGAAAGCTCTGGCTACCGTGAGTAGCAAAGTATGGTTATAGAATGTAAATTATAAGATCTTTAGAATATTAAAACATAACATACATAGACTCGGGGGTGGGGGGTGTGTTATGCAAGCGTTGAGCAAGAATTATGCTAAATCACATCAAACAGGATTTATGGAACAATTAAATCTCACATCGAATTAAATCCTCATTTCTCCCTTTTTGTCATAAATCCTAGATCTACGAGTTTGCTAGATTTACTAGATTTGGACGAAGAAGCGTGCGAACGGAAGAAAGATGTTTGCCTTCAGAACGAGCAAGCTCCTATCGTCCGTCATCGTCGTCACTTCCGATTGAACAGAAGAATAACGAGGAGGTGTGATTTCAGATTCGACAGGAAGGAACGTCGTCGAAGGAGGCAAAAAAGTTACTTAGCAACTCCTTCAAAACTCTTCATGTCTACTTATCATATGAAGGAGGTGAAGTCGAAGAGCAACAAACAATGGAGAAGAGGAAAAAGCAAAAATTTGCTACTCCAATTCTGCTCTTCCAGCCCTCTCTCTTATAGTACTCTTCTTCCCTCATCTCTCTCTCTCTCTCTAAGGCTTTGCCTGTAAACTAACATGCCTTTTAATTTTGAAGTATTAAAAATTGGATGAACATTGAATGGAGATATGAAGAGCTTCAAAGCTCTAAAATTCTAAGTTGAGATAAACATGAAACTTTTAAAATAATATAATATTTTCAATAATATTTCAATAAATGATAAAAAGTACATATAGGATGAAATATTTTTAATCAAATAATCAAAATAACTAAATTATTTATCTAAAATAACCGATTCAACTATATTTTAATATTTTTGTAAAGTTTATGTTTTATTACTTGATCAATAAAAAAAGAAATATAATTTCTGACTCCAACCCTGCACACCAACATTTTTTTGAATGGCTACCAAAATACCATTCCTTTAAAAAATTTGTTTAACATATTATTAATAGATCTTGATTTTTATATTTGTTAAGCATAGTAACTGCTTACATATAAAGCATAAATTAATATTAAATTAAGAGAATATTCAGAGACATGTGTGAAGTTAATGAATTATGTAGATTTCTTACAAATAGGGGCGAAACTAGCCTTTCATTTTAGTGGGTGGGGGTTAATATTAAAAAAAAATAAAATTAAACATCTTATATGATTATGATAACTTATTTGTAATCCCTAAAGTTTCAATCATCAAATGCATTGTGAAAATAAGATCGAAAGACTCGATTTATTATATCAATCAGAACACTAGCTAAACCGATTGTTGATCATGTACCCATTCTTCTTTAACAATCTCAATCACCTCGATTATAGAGGCATACATTTTTATGAGACTAATTAAAACATGAAAATATGTCAGAAAAAGGTATGAACAATATTTAGGCATGGTTTGCACCTCATTTAAACTTGTCCAAATCATTTTCAAATTTTGTGCAATCATTGTTCGAACCCTATCTGAACATCATTCAAACATGATTTGATCCTTATGTGAATAAGATTTGAACAATATTTGAATACAAATTAAACAAAGGTAATATATATAAGTTTCAAAACTCATTCGGCGTTGGCTTGAATAAAGTTATACCCTAATGGAATTCATGATTTAAATTTCGTTTGGAACAGCTTTCTTATTGCTTCTTAAAGTAGTTTTCAAGTACAATAATTAAAATTTTTGTGCTAAAAAACTGCTTTAATTAATATGAATAAAGCTGTCCCAAAAGAAGCCTTAGTGTGCAAATAAGATTTGAACATGTTTAAAAATTCTTATTGCAACTTCATTCCTTGTTCGTTCCTTCTTCGAGCGTTATTTTGCATCTAATATTTGAATACTAGGTTTGAAATAGATGTTCAAACATACTTCAACTAAGGCATTAAGGATTGAAACATAATATAGCATACAAACTTCATTTATTTTTGAACATAAGGTTCTCCTTTTGTCTCATTCTTATATAACCTAATAATTGGAAGAGCAAATTATTAAATTTAAACATAATAAACAAAAGTACATCATCAAGGCAGAGATTGTCTCTATGAAGATGCACATGGTGCTTAAAAGAAGAATGTTCTATGGTAGATCGATCACACGTGATCTCAAGCCATAGGGATGAACATGGTGTTTAAAAGAGGGAAGTTCGAGCAAAAATTCGAACAACTTTCTTATTCAAATATTCGCGACTTTATGTATAAAGGATTACAAATCATATTTTTTTGTAATGTTTCAATGATAAGACCATCTATGCCCAAAATTAATTTTTGAGCATTTTTCTCCAAATAAAAATCTAACACGTATATATATATCTAAATAGGTCAATTGTGTGGCATAAGAAGTAAAATTTTACAAATATATTATTTTTGTTGCAAAATAATTAAAAGTAGAAATATGAGAAAAATATCATTGAGATTATGAGAGATAAAATGAAAAAAAAAGTTAAGAAATTCTATTTAAAAGTACAATTTACTCATATTTAAAAAAAATGATAATTTTTCTATGCTAAGAATTTGTATTATGATTAATATTAATATTACATAGAATATTAAAAAACTGATAATATTAATCAGCATGATCTCCATATATATTACAAATTTTTTCTATCTATTTATATATTTAACATATAAAATTTTATATTTATTTATATAATAGTTAATTAATATTTTACTTAAAATCATATATTTCTTTCTAAAAATAAAATTGAGCATTTTTTTAATATAATTTAAAATTTAATTATTATGTAAATAAATATAAATTTTTAAATATTTGATATATAAAAGTTTTTTTGTATATAATTAAGTAGGTCTGTCCAGCGCTCGAACTAATTGAGTCAAGCATCCTTAAAGTCTTATAATTCTATGAGCCACGTGGCGAACTATAGATGCTGGTCCCAGGCGGTGCAACAATAAGATGGTGGAAAATATTAACCTTATTTTTATTAGTTAGTGAGCACTAGACTCGCTCAAAAAAGTACAAATGAAGAGAAGGCGAAAGACGGCTAGATGTCTGCGATGTGCGGCTTTCTTCTTCCTCTCGCGATAGCTTCGCTGGTTCCTGCATCCCTGTTCTCCATTCCTTTCATAACTTCCTCAGTCCTCTATAGCAAGTTAGGGATAAGAGAGAATTGAAGGGCGTAGGAGAAGAAGAGTGCTCGATTTCTCTCTATTTCTATGTTACGGATTCTGTCGTGCAGACGGTGCAGTCTTGTTGTTCTGTGTTGATTCCTTCAGCAATGCGGAAACCAACTTGTTCTTGGTATGATTTCTCGCATCCTGTATGTATTCTTTCTTTTGTACTTGATTTAGTTTTTTTCCTATGCATTGAGTTATGTGGAAGGGAATATTGTTGAGAAAGTCATCTTAATCTGCTAGTTGAGACGGTGAAGGTTTTCTATTGGTGGGTAGGAGGGTGAAAGAGGTGTGATTTTGATCTGTGATAGTGGGGTGCCATGAAACCAAAAAAAAAAAAGAAAAAAAAAAAAGAAAAAAGACTTGAAGAGTGAAATGATAGGACTGAATTTTTTTACGAAGGTGGCACTTTAGAGGATTAATTGGGGAGGGGTGTCGAGTGGAGGTAGTAATTGGGAAGGTTATCTGATTGTCGTCTTTTTTCTTTTATCTGGATTGCGGGAATCAGTTTGTATGTCGAGATGGAATTTTTTGTTCCAAGCGCCGCTTTACTAATATGATTGAGGTTTCTTTTTTATGGTAACATTGACTAGAATTCTGTAAACGCATGGGTGTGAAGTTTTTGTTTTGTTTCTTGAATGCTTGTGTTTCCTTATTTGGTATTGTTTATGGAAGTATGCCTGGAAGTCTTGATTGAAGTGACAACTTTGTCTGTTTCCGGACTTGTTGAGCATATCCAAATTGAATATGTTTGCAAGTTTGAATTACCGGTTTCCTTTCTTTATATACATGGCTACGTTTTGATGCATTCTTCTCCACATTCAACCTTTATCTTCGTAGAAAATTGTTGTTCTCCCTTAAACAGTAATAAATTAAATATCATATATATCATTATGTCAAACTTTATATAAACCATAGGTAATCTCCATGTGTCCCTTTTAAAAAATATTAGGTTATTCGTTTTATGTAAGGTAAGGTCATGGGCGCAGATGAATCTCACGGGATCATATAAATTGTGTACCCATATTTGTTTATTTGTTGTACTTAATTTATGTTAGGTTAATTGTAACAAGCAAAATGTATGATGATTAGAAATTCAATACAACAAATGCACAAACATGAGCACAAAAAAATTATATGATTTGGTGAGATTCACGTGAATCCACGACCTCACTTAAATCAAATAATTCACTAAAGTTTTAAAAGGGGCATATGAGAATTATCTATATTTTATATAAAGTTGGAGATAAGAATGTATATGCTATTTTATTTATGTCACTGATTAAGAGAGAACACAACCATTTGTTGCAAAGATGATAGTTGAATGTGAGAAGATGTCAAAATATACAAATCTATTTTGAGAATGAGGTTGCACATGGAAGATAAGATGTTATTACTCCTACTATATCATCTTCCCTTCCCTACTACAAGAGTTTCTTCTAACTATGGTTGAAAGCTTTTTTTTTTTTGATAAATTTAAAACTAACAACACCTCAATCTTCCTGAAGAACCAGAACATCTCTCTCCTGCAATCACTCAAAAAGCTATTCCCTTTGTTCCTCTGTTGGAAGCCTCTCTGATACGGCAGGAGCAGCAGGGGTCCTCACCAAGCGGACCCGGGAGTCATTGGACCGCCCGATCTAACAAACTTCGGCTCAGGTGGGGCAGGCGGACAGAGAGGGGAAGTCGGTTGAGGAGGTGGGGCCCAATTGAGATTTAAAATATTATGCTAGGAGGGAATAAATTAGGAAATCCTTTCCTAATTAATTTTCAGATAGAGGAGGGAAACACATTAGGAAGGAGGCTGATTTAGGAGGTAAGGAGGAAACTTATTTAATTCTAAAGTTAGGGTTTATTTTATTCTTATACATAATTTTATTTTGAGTGTTGTAGTTCTCTTGTGTGAGGGATCCTAGCGGCATCTAGGATTTGAGAGAGAAGGTTTTTCTCTCGAAACATGACCATTGTATCTTGCTTTGTTCGTATTTGGTTTTCTACCAATAAAAATCTAATTTTGTGTTGAATCTCTTATCATATTTTGCTGTTTTGGAAGGTGAAGAGGAGTAGGGGGATCTGCAGGAGGTTGGTGCTAACACTCTAAAGCATACAGATAGTAGAAGATTTTCTTACCTTGGATTTTTGGAGCACTGATGTGAACCTAAGGATGAATTTGTTGCAGATGATCGGGGAGATGAAGGTGGATTGGAAATCTTTGACTATGGAGATCCAGGTGGAGGGGAAGAGGGTGGTGCTGCGAGGAGATGCCAGCTTGTGTAGAACCATGGTTTCACTCAAAATCATGGTTAAGGATCGAGGAGCAGTGCTGAGTACTCTGCGGAGCTTCAGAGCTTGAAGGAGGTCTGAGATTCAAAGTCGATCGAGGTCCTCGAGTGTGTACATTTGCTTTTGCAGTAGTTTTCTGTGATTTTTTAGCAGCCTATCAGATTATCGCCACTCAGGGAGCACGACCATGCCATTACCTTGAAAAAGGGAGCTTTTCCTATCACTGTCCGACCATATTAATATCTGTAGATTCAGAAGGATGAGATGGAGAGGATCATCTGAGAGATGTTTGAGGCGGTGATTATCAGGCCTAGTGTGAGCCCTTTTTTCAGCACAATTTATTTGTGAGAAAGGATGACAGTTGGAGGTTTTACGTGGATTATTGGGTCCTAACCAAGAAAACTGTGCTAGACAGGTTTCCTATTCATTATTGATGAGCTGTTTAGGTGGTCATCTTCTCAAAGATTGACTTGAAGTTGGGATACCACTAGATTAGAATGAAGTTGGGGGATGTGCACAAGACAACCTTTGTGACGCACAAGACAACCTTTGTGACTTATGAGAGTTACTATAAGTTTTTTGTGATGCCTTTTGGCCTTACCAACACTTCAACCACATTTCAGTCCCTTATGAACCGGGTTTTTCAACCCTACTTTAGGAAATTCGTTTTAATATTTTTTGATGACATCCTGATATACAGTCATACGGAGGCAAAGCATGTGGGTCACCTGAGGACTATATTGGAGATTTTGAGGGAGCACCAGTGATGTAATCTAGGATTATCATTTTATATTTTATATTTTATTATGTTTTGGATGTTATGTAATTTTGGATTATGTTTTTTTTATGTGCCCTATGATAAAAATCAACCCATGATCATGTTTGGGTTTGGTGCTCTTAAGTATCTTCTCTCCTTTGGTTTTCCACTCAAGTTGAATTTATTTACTTGCTTTCTTGTTGGCTAATTGGGCATTTAATCTCGGACTATTTTTTCTCTTAATTGGCTTGATTGGCCCATGTCTCCTCATGACTGGTTTTCCATGCAGAATTCGGTTACTACTGCCGCTAGTTTCCAATGTAAATTATGGGAATTCCTACTGGCTAGTTGCCCTAGTAGTTTCAATTTTCCCTGGGCAGAGTTCCTACTGGTGGCTGATCATTTTCCCTCCTTGCTATTTCCTAGACTAATGCTTTATCTTCTCCAAAAGTGGTTGTCTTGATTTGGCTATTTGGGGTGGCACATTTATAGGGGCATTTGGACTTTTTCTCCTATAAATATAGCTAATTTCCTGCTGGAAAAGTGAGTTGTTGGCTGAAATCTAATCCAAACATGAGGGTTTTCTTCTTAGCTTGTGAGCTATCTTCGTCCTACACCTATTTCTACTTCCCGATCTGTTATCTATTTATTCTTTCCACGGTTACCCTTCCACTTGTATCTTTCTTCTCTAAAATATTGTGAGTGTAAGGTGTTGTTGAGTACATTTATTAATATTTGTCGGAGGAGTGACGGCTTGAGCTGGATCAAGATTTTCACCATTGGCTTGATTTTTTCTTTGAGCACCATTCTCTAATTTTTAGATTTGCATATGAGGCTACCTTTCTAGGTTGTTCTGAGGGTATTTTATTTTATGTTTTAGTTTGTTTCTTTTAAGGTTTCCTGATCATTTACTTATATATGTTTACTATAAAGTTTTATTCTGTTGGTGTTGGTTTATGCTTTATTAGAAGGAAGTATCTAGTTGCATTCATAATGTTCTCCTATTTGGCTATGGAAGTTGGGTTTCATCAACCAGCTGTATGGAAATTTGAAAAAATGTTCTTTTGCACAGGCACAGATGGAGTACCTATGACAGAATAGAGCAGAGGTAGCAGCAGACCAATCCAACTTTGAGGCTATGTTAGATTGGCCTACCGAAGAACCTGAAGGAGCCGAGAGGGTTCTTAGGTCTCATCGGGTACTACCTGAATTTTGTGCGAGAGTATGGCACGATAGCATGGACACTAACGGAGCAGCTGAAGGACAATTTCAATCGAGGGGAAGTAACAACACATGCCTTCGATTAGTTGAAGAAAGTCATGACCAACATGCCAATATTAGCACTCCTTGACTTAAGTAGACCATTTTTGGTGGAGACTGATGCATCAGGGTACACACTAAGGGCAATACTCATGCAGGATCATTGAGCTATTACCTATTTCAACGAGGTGCTCATGACCAGGGTGAGGCTCAAGTCTGAATACGAGTGAAGAGTTGATGGCAATTGTCTAAGCCATTCAAAAGTGGCGACCCTATTTATTAGGGCAATACTTTATTGTCAGGATAAACCAGAGGAGACTGAAGTTTTTACTGGAGCAAAGAATGGTAATAGAGGAGCATCAGAGGTGATTATCTAAGTTACTTGGATATGATTTTGTGGTCTAATATCAAAAGATTGGAGAACAAGTCCGAGGATGCACTATCAATAAAGACGGACGAAGTCATATGGGAGCCATACGAGATGGTCATGAGATAGATCCCATCCTTTCATCTTGAGGACAAGGTGTGTCTTTGGGGGGGGAGTATTGATATGACCTTGTGGGGCCCAGGAGATCTATTATTCATTATATAAGGAGGAGGAATTAAGGGGGAACTAATTATGAAATATTTATTTAGAGAAAGAGAGTTGATTTGATTGGGATGAAATTATGAAAGTTATTTAGGGAAAGAGGGCTGATTTGATTGTGAGGAAATTTGAAAATGTTTATTTAGGGAAAGATGGCTGATTTGGTTGAGAGGGAATTATGAAAGATTTATTTAGGAAAAGAAAGATAGTTGATTTGAATTTAGATTTGGGAGGGAAGTAGGAAGGTTTATATTAGGATTTATTGGGTGGTTTTATTTTCATTATGTGATTGTATTTGTTGTACTTTTTCTTTAAAGTTGTTCATAGCGGCACTTAGGGTTTGTGGGAGAGCCACTCTATCTCTTGAATAGTAGATCAATTATATCTTTCATTATTTGTTGAAGAGATAATAAAAAATGAGCCCTAATATTTGGTTCATGCATTTTTCTTCTTATCTACTTGCTATTTTTTACTTCGAAGACACATCACATTCTTTCCATGCAAGTCTCTTGAACTATGCAATATATTTTGAATTATGTGAAGTCATATATTTGATTGCAGGTGCTTAATTTTTTATCTAGTTTCATTCTCCACTAGGCTTGTACACTTCACTAAAGTTGAGAACATGTTAGATTTAATTGTCAACATAAACCTATACCTTCATATGTTATCAACTATGAAGGTGATAAAAAATATAATGGCCTTGTTGGAAGTAATGAGGGATAACTCCTATATTTTTGTGTGTACTGGCTTTAACCTTTTGGTTTTTAATTCTTTCATAGCCATGTAGAAATTGATCTACCTTAATTTTCTTATGATTATCACATGAGATTGTTTCAATAGATTTTTAACTTGATATTTTACTTTCGATATTGAGAATCTTCAAGCCATTCTGGCTCATATGCCTTGCCTTTGATGCCGTAGATTTGATTCCACCTCCGCATTGGCAGTGGCTCCTATTATTTTTTATAAAATTAATGTTGGGACCATCTATCTTGTTGTTTGGGTAATCTCCAAGGACTAATATTGAGTGTTATGACATTTTTCTGCTAGTAGTTGTGCGATGGAGATCAAGTTTCTCCTCGAGCTAGTGACATGCTTGACTTCGTTCAGTTTTCGAGTATTTCCATTTGTTGTCTTAGTTATTAAATTTCTAATGCTTACAATATTCAATGGCTCATCATCAATAAGGAACTTTTTCCATTATTGTCCGTGCAATTCTTTTTTATTTTGCCCTTGTTTGAAAAAGAATGAAAACAAAAGTAGTTGAATCCAATATTCATGTTTCCATTGGACTGCTTGTATTGAATATCAGGGCATTTTGAATGTCTTCCAACATTGCATTCATTATCTAATTCTTTGGCTTTCGGCCTTGCTTATGTTCCTTCATGCGGCCTATTATATATGGCTAGGCTTGCCATAGTACTAGCATTACTTGGGCGATTTTGAGACTTACTTTTATTGTAATTTTACTATTGGTTTTTTCCATAAGATTTTGATCCGCTTCTACATTCATTGTTGCTCTTGTTTTGAGACATTCTCATATTGCCAATATTTAAAACAAAAGATAATATACTTTCACTTTTATTTCTTGTTTGATATCCTTACTAATGATGAGATCTCTGACATCACCAAGCTGCATGGCAGATGATTCGTAGGAATTATTGATGTTTGTTATAATGCTGCCTTATCTCTCAAGCAGTGATGAGAGTAAGCATAAGGCATTATTCTCATTGTTGAACTTGATGTTCATGGCGTTCAAATGTCTCGTGATTGAATCGAACTCATTGATTGATCGAGATGGCTAAATCTCCTTTTTAACATCTTGAGATTAAAATTTTTACTAAATATATATACCTTATTGTGTGGGATTCATGTGGCTTGTAGCATCATGTAGGGTCGACTCTAAGGACGAATGCATATATTTTTTAGTGAAATTTCATGAATAATTTTTATAATACTTAACAGTCTTTTGCATGTAAATAAACAATGAAGTTATTTCTAAATAGAGTTCTCTTTGATCAAGAGGGAGACTTGAATGTTTTTGGTAGTGCTATCTCCTTGCACAATTGAAAGGCTTGATATGGTGACATTTTTCTTTCTTCTCTTGATTTGTGGGATTCTTACATTAATATTTGGGTTGCATGCGTGATTGATATTATTTAAATTTTATACAATTTGAATTTTTACAAGTGCCTGGTTTTTTTATTAGTTATATGATTTTTTATTGTTCTAAATTTCTATTTTTTTTTTTGTAGAAAACCGTTGATTTTATCATCTTCATTGATTCTTGTCATTTTTTAATTTTCATTGAAAATTACCAAATAGTTGTTAAAATTAAGAATTTTTCATATGCGAGTTTGTGTTTGCATGATTTTATTCATTTTATTCTAAATCTGCATTAGCAAAATCTTGACCCCAAGACACTTCATCACCCTATGTTCTTAAAATTAAAGAAACTTTATCTAGGCATGGAGCATTGGGATTAAAATTCATGAAAATGAATGCATAAAGTGTTGCTTCCAGCCCCCCCCCCCAACTGCCATCCCTTGCCTGCATTCTTTGTTTTTACTCTAATGTGCTCACCATGTCGGTGAATCCTTAATGGCCTCATAAGGGCACACAACATAAATCAATATTTTTTTAACGACTTCTCTTATCGCTATATTTCTAATAATCCAGTTGCTCGAGTGAAGTAGTAGCACTGATGCGTTCACTTGCAACTACATCTAAACCTTCCGAAATACCATGGTTTTTTCTTAACGTTTCATGGCATGAAATAATTGCCATTATATCTGTATCTACTTGCTACAGATCCATCATGTTTTGGGGTGAAATATACATTTATTGTCGATTTGCAGTTTATGCCATTTTTGATAAGCCATAAAATGCCATTGTTTTGAGCAGTGGCTTGACATGGTACATGTAGAATGCTGTCAGTTTCTTGTCATTAAAGATATAGGCACCAATATTTAAATGTTGCATTAGCTGAAGCTTCTAATTTACTTGATTTATTGGAGAACATGCTATGTAATTGGCATGCATTTAGATTTCTAATCGCAATAGTATGCTGTTAGTTGCTTGTCATTAAAGATATCGGCACCAATATTTAAATGTTGCGTTATGTGAAGCTTCTAAATTACTTTGATTTATTGGAGGGCGTGTTATGTAATCGGCATGTATTTAGACTTCTAATCGCAATAGTTTTGTTATATCTAGAATGCTACATTCATGCATGCTGCATGAATGTCTATGCGGCAGATTTCTCTATTCCTTTTTTTTTTTGGAGAAAACCCATAAAATGGGACCTACGCGTTAAGTAAAAGCAAATTACAAGCCCTTAATGAATCAACAAACCCCTAAAAATACATCATTGGAGGCAAAACCTATGGGTCGTTGATCCAATCTATAATAAGATAAAGCAGAAGAAAGAGAACCAAGAACGAAAAGCCAAATACAACAAAATAAACCAAAAAAGCCATCCAAGAACCAAGGCAGCCAAGGAGGAAATCAAGAGAGCATCCACCTGAGCAAGACAACCAGATAAACATTAGCAGAACCATGCTCAGTAGAGGATCAACAAGGTCATACTGCAAAACAAATCCACACAACTACCTAGAACCAAAGAAATAATACAAATTGCAAAGAAGATCAGAGAAGATGAAAAGAGCAACCACACCAAAAGACCTCCAACCCAACTCGCCAAATAGCAAACCCCAACATAATCCCCATAACCAAAAGACAACACCACCTTACAATTAAGAAGCCAAACCAACAAACATCCGGGCACAGCCAAAAGAGACCAAACAACCAAAGCACCAACAAGAAAAAGAACTACTTCCTTTTCGACTTCCCTCTACGATGTTTGCCACCCCTCAGAGCAAAAGTTTTCTCAACAATACGATTAACTTTTAATTGGAACATTGATTGAGGAAAATCCTCTTCCGGCCCTTCCTCCTCATCACAAGGTGAGGAGAGGGACTCCTCCAGCTTGCCATTATTATTCACACAATCACTCGCCGTCTGAATTGCTAATTGAGCTCTCAATACCTCATTTGAAATTAAAGAAACAAGGACATCATCAAAAAGTTTATTCAATGGTTCCAACAAAGTCATAGGATATTCCACACAAGCAGCAGCCAAACTCGAAGAATCCATAATATCCCTAAACACAATAGGCACATGAGATAACACACCCTTCAAAGGGCTCAGGGCATCACTTCCCCCAGAAGCAACATCCACATGATCAGTAGGTGAAGAAATAGGACTAGCAATAATATTAACCATGATTATTAGCACCACTAATCTTATTAACACCCTCTCTGAAATCACAAGATGGAGCCAAAGCCGAAAATTCCTCCACAGCCTTACAAGGAGGAACATAAGAGTTTATTTGCAAATCTAAGCAATTACCCTCAAATTTACCACTCAGAACAACCACTTGTACACTAGAAGAAGGCACAACCCCCATAACAGTGTCCACCAAAACACCCGAAACAACAGGAGCAACAACTAAATAGCCTTCAGCTACAACATGAAAAGAAACGCCATCACAATCCACCCCCACCTGAGCATTTTCCATCCGACCATCCAACTCAATAACTACCACCCCAGGAT